TTCCGTTAGTAAACCTTAATCTCCTTCCATTTAGTGGAATCAAACCTAAGAGAAAAACACAGAAAATCTACTATAGTAATTCAATTAACCATACCTCTCAATTAAGTATCCCTGTTTTTAGAGTTGGCAAGCATCAACCTTTACACGCTAATGTTTTTAAGACAATGTAAAGGGAATCCACATCTACCATTAATAAATATAGATGGCCTAATTAGAAAAATATAACAGGTACACATAAACATTTTCAACATTTAAGAGAAATCTGAATGAAACAATTTTGAAAAGCAGAAAATATGAGGTTAAATTAGCTAAATATTTCATAATATGAAATTCATAATATGAAGTGAGTCAGCAAGAAAAAAATTACAAAGTAAAAATGAGACACAACACAAAAATAAATCTTAGGGTGTAACTGAAAATACATGCCCCAATACAGCTAGTACTTTTTTTTTTAAAGGTTTATTTATTTATGCATACAAGAATTGGGGTACAAGCCAGAGGTGAGGGGAGTAAGAGCATTCACCAGAGACAAAAGTGGGGAAACAGGCAGATGTACTGAAACATACTGCTGAGGGGAGCAGTGGGAAGGTCAGGAGAGGTCTGCCATGCCATGCAGATCACCCCCAGGTCCGGGGATCGAACTCATGCTGCAGTAGCTGTGGACAGCTTCATAGTGCTGTGCTTTAACATGTTGTGTCACCAGAGAGGGCCAATGCTAGTACCTTTTTTTTTTTTTAAAGATTTATTTATTTATGCATACAGAACTGGGGTAGAGGCCAGAGGTGCAGGGGTGGTTAAAAGCTTCACCAGAGACAGAGTGGGGAGCAGAATAGGCAGATCGACAAAGTACACTGCTGAGGGGAGCAGCAGGTGGGTCAGGAGAGGTCTGCCTCACTATGTGGATCACCCCCAGAGTCGGGGATCAAACTCTCACTGAAGCGGCTGTGGTCAGCTTGCAGTGCTGCATCCCAACCCTCTGCACCAGCAGGGAGGACCACTGCTAGTCCTTTAAGACAAATTTCAAATCACATAAAAATTCACCATGTGTCTGCAGTTTGAACAAAGTTTGTAAAATAATAAAGTAAAAATGTAAAACCTAAAAGTTTGTACAACCTTCTATTTGATATGATTTATAGAATTATCAAAATGAAATGCAAATCTGTATTTTTACTCTTGCCAAGTTTAAATACTGCTAGGAGCCCACCATTCTTTTAAGAATGGTTTCTTAAAAACAGTCCAGCCATGAATTTACTTGGTGATTTGTTCCTTAGTTCTAAGAAGAAACAGGGAGAAGAAAAGAAATAGGAAAGAAGGGCTCACATACATTTGAAAGCTACAACCAATCCTAAGTGTATGTTGAATAACTTTAGCACTATTTCAGAGCAGAACTTCCCCAACATTTCAAGTGTGCCAGAATACTGATCTCCACCCCCAATGTTTTACTGGAAGCTATTTGTTATAAGCTTTCAGACTCCAACAACTTTACCTACCTTAGTATGCAATAGAAAAATTATTTTCTATGTATGCCATGACTGAAAAAAAGGTTGGAAGACGCTGACAGTGTAAGCTAGTTACAACCCGAACTTAAAATATACACTCTATCCAATAAGAAATTGCCAGGCTTCTCTGGTGGCCTCTGGGTAAGTCTCAGCACTATCAACTCATTCAGCCTGGGCTATAGCCTAAGTTTGATCCTGGGTCTACCTCACCGGCCAACCCCCTTAGCAGTGTATTGCAGTAGACTCCCCTGTTCTGTCTGGTGAATCCTCTTACCCCTCCATCCCATACAAGCCTCTGACCTACACACCAGTTCTTCTGTGCAAGAAGAAATCAAAAGTCTATCCTTGGCCCTCCCTGATGGTGCAACGGGTTAAAGTGCAGCACTTCAGCATGAGTTGATCCCTGGCCCCGGAGGTGACCCACATGGCACAGGCAGGGCAGACCTCTCCTGGCCCGCCCACTTCTCCCCTCAGCAGTGTACTTCGGTAGATCAGCCTGTTCTGCTCCCCACTCTACCTCTGCTCACCACTCTGACTCTCACCACCCCTGCACCTCTGGCTTGCACCCCAGTTCTGTATGCATAAGTAAATAAATCTTTAAAAAGAAAAAAAAAAGTCTATCCTTAGGGCCTTCCCTAATGATTCAGGCAGTTAAAGCTCAGCACTATGAAGCTATCCTAAGCCACTGCTGCATGAGTTAGATACCAGCCAGCAGACCTCTCCAGTGTTGCTTGCCCTCTGCTCCCTCAGCAGTGTATTTCAATCAATCTGCCTGTTCTGCTCTCCACTGTATTTGGTGAATTCTCTCACCTTCCCCACCTCTGGCCTGTACTTCAGTTCTTGTATGCATAAATAAGTAAATAATAATAAAAAAAAGTCTATCCTCATCTGATGATATTAAACGCATTCTAAAAGGCACATTTCTTTTTAATTCAAGTAATCAAGTACTATAATACTTTTGTATAATACACATTTTAAACTACAGGCCTCCATACATCTTAAGAAACCTCTTCAGTAGCAGCAATATCCTGGTGTGGGTAAGATGAATGTTTTAAAAGCTTCTGAAGTACACTGTCAAAGCATGATTCTTGTTTAAGAAAATATCTATTTCCTAATCTCCTTCCAAGCTTCGTCTTCATAGCACAATCACCTTTTAAACTTAAAATATTTTGGTTCTATATATCCTTCCCCAACTAAATTGTTATGTCCACAAGGTAAGAAATACTGTCTGCTTTTGTTCACAGTATCCAGATGAGTGCCTGACAGACACAAAGGACTCAGACATTGATGTGAATGAACAAATTTCATAAATTGGTTGTAGTGTTATTTTAAACCAGTGGTTTTTAAAAGTGTTTAAACTTTGCTAATACAATGGTCAGGAAAGAACTCTGCTCACCAAAGATACAGATACACTACAACTGTAGTGTTGGGGTTTTCAAGAAACCTGATTTACCAATTTATTGATATATTTTTCAGTATACCACCAAAAATATCTGTACCCTATTTTAAAAACAAAAATAAAAGACCTAATTTTATTTGGTTAAAATGGGAAACACGTTTGTTTTCCATTCCTTTAATCAGAAGACAAAAGAATTTCAGGTGGTAAGTCAGAAGTACTTGGGACACAAAAACGGTACTGCATTGACAAGTTTTTTTTTTTCCATTGCTTGAGCTGCCATGTAAAATTCAAACTACCAAACACTTAGTTCTGTACCAACTCAGTTTCTTCTCTTAAAAATTGAAATCTGCAGTTTCCAGACACTTGACAGCTAACTATCTAATTAGCTATGCCTATATGTCTCTTTCTAAATATAATCACAAGTGTTTTGGATTTTAATCTTAATTTTTGGTTTTAACCTTAAGGTTAAGTAACTTAACTAAGGTTAAGTACTTTTAACCTTGGTACAAATAATCTTAATCTGTTGTACTGTCCATCTACTGTTCAACTAGTATCCCACAGTTCCTTTTTTGGCCTCAAAGGAGGAAACTTCTCTAATGTCTCTGGGGAGACTAGTGTAAAATACATTTCCTGAAATTGTTCTTGTTTTTTTCCTGCACCATTTTATGACACTATAACTAGCAATGGTATACACACACAAACACACATATACTTTTTCTATACTGCAAGAAGTCTAGAAAGAAAAGGTCAAGAAAATATTGTATGGAAAAGCAGATTCAAAGGAGAAAACTAACACAGAAGTAAATGTGAAGCAAGTAAGTGTGCCAAAGAGAATGAATGCAAAACAAGAGATGACAGAAAAACACAGTTCTTGCTGGGGGCAGGGGGAATAAAGGGGTAGGGGTGAAAGATTAGTATATTTTCTTAGAAACAAAAGCACAAAATCCTACGAAAAACGTGGTCCCTTTATTAAGGAGATGTTAAAAACACTAAACAGGGCTCGTTGACTGCAAAACTAAAGTTCTACCTTCTCTTCCCATTTTTCTGTGGTGTGTCTTCATTTGTAAATTAAATGCAGGCTAGATAATGCAGTCTCTACAAAACTGCAATTGTGGTTGCCATCTTTGCCTGGAAAAATCAAACTCACCGGGTTTGGAGAAAAAGGAGTATATTAAGTTGAAAAACCAAGAAACTACGCATTGCCAAGTCAGGTAGATGAGACAGGATTAACAAATGCCTCCTACCAAACTAAGGTTCCACTCAGTCTCTCGAGAAGGGCAAAAGGCTTCAGGAGCCTTTCCGCGACCGCAAGGGTGGGGCACCGGAGGAAAAAACATTTGAGAACGAGCTATCCCGGGAGGTATAAGGGGGCTGGTGACCCAGCTCTCGCAGAGACTGCAGATGTGATGGTAAATGCTGTTGATGGACTTAGGGCAGCTTGGAGAAGAGTGAAACTGGAGCTGCTGGACGAACGTTCGTTCAGAGTGCGGAGGCTGACAGAGGAAAGCACCCACAGGGCAAAGGATTAAGAGTCAAAAAAGGGTGCGAGCCGAGGGGCCAAGCAGGCTGGGGCCAGGCGTGGGAGGCCGAAGCAGAGACCGCGAAGCGTCTTAGCTGCACCCGCCTTCTCCCGGACTCCTTTTCAGTTCCCCCACGCTCAGCCCCTCTCAGCGCCGCCCCAGCCCCGGCGACAACGGTGAGCAGCTGTTTCCGCCCGGCCCGGGACCCAAAGGAAAAGGCATCCCTGGGGCGGGAGGGCAGGCCGGCGGCGGCCGTCTGCGCGCGGACGGTGTTCCCGAACCTCGGCCGCGGAGCCAACACCAAAACTTCGCCCTTCCCTCTCCTGCCGTCAGCCTTCTTTATCCCCCAACTTCCCCGCCGTCTGGTGTCCGCTTCGACCGACCAAGGACCACCCCCACCCCCCCGCGCCCTTCTCGCCGCCTCTCACCCCTCCTAAGTCCCTGAAGCTGGGGAAGGACCGGTCACCAGGGCCTCTCCTGAACCGCCCGAGTGCCCCAGAGTCCCAGTCACCTCCCCCGATTGTACACTCGCATCCTCCCTGTGGCTCCCTCACCCGCCCAGATGCTGCAAACTCCTCTCACCTGCATTGACGCCATGATGGAACCATCCCCCCAAGGCCGGCAGGCCAGAGACGCAGGGGGCGGAGTTGCCGTGCTCGCGTCACGCCGCGGGGCCCTAGCATCCCGGGTTTGGGGGGCGGGGCTTCCGATGGGAAGGGGATGGCACAAGGGGATTGGCCGGCGCGCACGGGGGGTGGGGGTGTTTAGGGCGGACTGGTGCGTGGTCAATGGCGCTGTCCGAACCCTCTTTCTCCGATTGCTTGGGAAACGCCGCTGGGATTCTGACCTGCCACCGTTTCTTTCTGTGTGGAAACCAGATGACGATATCCGGACACGTGCGATTTTTTCAGTTTTGTTTTGTTTTCCAGCCACAAATGTATGGTTTATAGATTTTTCCTTTTGGATGTCTTTTCCAGCCCACTTTCTCCCCTTTGGGGCCACATGGAACTTCCAGCGGGGCTCCTTTCTGTTTTTACGGACCTGGAAGGATTCTCATTCCTAATTTGGAGAAAAGAGACACGGATCTCCTTGTACAGGAGGATGGGAGTTGAGAGAAGAACACCTTAATGATTTAAAGGCAAGGATAGTTTGTGGAGCTGAAACTTGCCTGCAAAGGGAGAGGAAATTTTAAAGTTTTTCTTTTGTTTCTGTACGGTTTCCGCTCTCTTGCCGCACCACTCAGTTTTAAACTTAGCAAATAGCAGCATTAGTTACGGTTCTCATAACATTGACTTTTGGTTAACGATTTGACCCTACACATGGTTTTGTTTTGTTTGTTTGTTTGTTTTTTAAATGTACCAATGTCCTAATAATACAAATACCTTCCACATCCAGACTTTTCTTCAGCCTTCTTCGTGATATTTTGTGTGTGTGTGTGTGTGTATGGTCATTCGACCTAGGGATGTACTCGAGTAGGGAATGCACCAGTTCTGCCAGCATTTATCAGAAGCCACGTTTTAAAATGCTATTCTAGAACTGAAGATGTCATTGGCTTATAAAAAGGAAGGAAGTCAAAAGCTGGCGCCTGTGTTCTGTCTTTAAAAATGAAGGTGACCAGTGCATTAAGTAGAAGACTTTTTAATTTACCAGGATGACATTTGTCATTAGCTTGTTCTTTTAAAAAAAATTAAGATTCAAATATAGTTATATTGGATATCATCCTTCCCACTCTAAGATTTGTATTTTCTGAGAACTTTCCTAATGAATGTGTTCAAAACGGTAAAAGATCTTTAGAATATATCAATTATTCAATAGTGTAATGTTAAGCACAGTTGTCATTAGGGAGTTGTAATATTAAAAACCGTTGTCAAAGTTTTATGGGGTATCTTCCTTTTCAGATTTTTTTTTTCCCCAGAAACGGACTGTTATCCCGTTGTTGTTGTTGTTTTTTGCAAAATGATTGTGACCTTGAGGAAGTGTTTGGAAACTCTTAGCAACCAGGAATTATCAAGAAGGATATCAAGGTCCTCCCTGGTGGGGCAGGGGTTGAAGTCTCAGAGCTATTGCCTAGACCCGGGTTTAAGTCTCAGAGCTGTTGCCTAGACCCCAGTTCTTGCACAGGTAAGTAAGTAAATAAATATTTTGTAAGAATATCAGGGGCTTCCTGGTGGCGCAAGGGGTTAAGTCTCAGCACTATGAAACTCAGCACTATAGTTAGCTACTGCTGAGTGATTTCAGAGTGAGTTCGATCCCCAGCCAGAGAGCTGACCCAAATGTTGAAGCAGATCTCCTGTCTCACCTGCTGCTCCCCTCAGCAGTGTATTTCTGTAGCTCTGGCTTTTCTGCTCCCTACTCTGTCTCTAGTGAATCCTCTCACTCCTCCAGCCTCCCCCCCCATCTCTGGCCTGCACTCCAGTTCTTGTATGCATAAATAAATCTCTTTCTTAAGAAAAAGGTAACCCCACAAGCAAGGCATTATGACATCATCAGAGCTGACAACCTGCCATGACAGCTACTTATAAGAAAGATAAAGGGTTACAGAATGGCTGACATCACCATAGAATCAACATCTGCTTCATTGGATTTCAAATGTATTAAAAAGGCTCTTCACAGGAGGAAACAGTCAGAGCCAGTCATATCCATCCTAAAAAATATTAAATATCACATAATTACTTCACTGTCTTCTCACTCATTCATTAATATGCACTAGAAAAATACTGATGTACTCAGGAACTAAAACAGTGACTTTCAGGTGGGTTGGGGGGATCTATGATTAAATTTTTCTATCTAGAATATATGATTATACAGTTTGAAGATTAAGCTCACATCTCATTTCTTTATAGAGTGGGTTTTAGTATCAGATAGACAAAAGGTAAAATGTCTGAAACAATACCAAAAGTGGGAGAAGTGAATTCTCAGAAACTCTAAAGTGAAATTGACAAAATCAATTTGGAAAACAGTTTAACAATAATAGTTTCCCATACTTTTTTTTTTTAGTTTCCCATACTTTTAAATGATCTTTTTAATAGCATCCTTTGTAATAAAATTTACTTAAGAAGCTGAAATAAATGCAACTAATTTGAATCCTGATTCAAGTTTAAAAAATTAGAAAAAAATATTTTGAGAAAGCTGGTAAAATTTAAACAAATTAGATTTTTAAAGGTTTATTTATTCATGCATACAGAACTGGGGTACAGACCAGAGGTGCAGAGGTGGTGAGAGGATTCATCAGAGAAAAGAGTGGAGAGCAGAACAGAGATCAACAAAGTTCACTGCTGAAGGTGAGACAGAAGACTGCCATGCTATGTAGGTCACCTCCCTAGCTGGGGATTGAACTGGTGCTGAGGCAGCTGGGGCTTGATTCATAGTGCTGTGCTTTAACCCACTGAACCACCAAGGAGGGCCCACAAAATAGATTTCAGATTGCATTAGGGATTATTATTTGTGTTACATTAGATAATGATTTTTTTTTTAAATTTTCACAGCAATTAAAATCAACATCAGGCTCAAGGAGGTGATTCTTATCTCACAAACCATCATGAGTCAACAAACAAGTGAGACAAAAACAAAACAAAACAGGATAGGCACAAGTTATGTATGTGCCTCAGTCTTCTCTTCCAAGGAAAAGACAGAGCTTATGACACATAATACGCAAGGCAGCTGGAGGTTCTGGCAGAAAAGGGAGGAATTCATGGGAAACTGAAGAGTAATTTGAAAGACCCATCGGGGATCACTGGCAAATGTTGCAATATTGAAATAGAATATGATTTATGAATTTTTAGTTTTTGTAGACTAAGAGGGTCAGGAGCAATCCTACAAGAACATGCTTTTGGAGTAAGAAGAGTCAAAATAGGAGGGTATTTGCTTGAGTAAGCCTCCCTAGAATACTTTGTTCTTAGTGTCTGCTGCTCTTGAATCTGAGTATTTATAGGCTATCATGTGATCAGATTCCATCTGTCCTAGCCTAGATGGCGTCCACTGAGCAGAGATCAATGTCCAAACCAAAGCTACAGGGCAAATTAAATGTCATGGTTTCTCCACAGATGCCCCTCATCACCAATGGTTTCATCGCCAAAGCACTAACTAGCATTTTAACTGCCAAAGTGCAACTCTGCCCCTCCATGCTATTAGCCCTACTCAGGGCCTAGAGCCTAGAAAGCTCCACTTTTTACCATTCACAGTTGACTTGAGTCCCATCCATTGACTCAGAGGTTGCTTTTCTCTGTTCCCCTTACAATTTTCCACTTTCAGTTTTTCACCATTTCTATGGTGATAGAAACTGGATAATGAGGTGTGATCTGAGAAAACAGTTATAACTGATGTTGCAGTGTATTCAAATGAAATAGAAATCAGTCACAAAGCATTGTCCACACATAACCAGTGTAACAAAGCTTCCATTTCTAGAGAATAGTCAATCAATCCAAGCAAAAATGAAAAAAAAAAAAATCTCAGACCCTCCCTGGTGGTGCAATGGGTTAAAGTGCAGCACTATGAAGCTATCTGCAGTCACTGCAACAAGGAGCCCCCACCAGGCAACTGACCTACATAGCACAGCAGACCTCTTCTGACCCACTTGCTGCTCCCCTCAGCAGTGTATTTCAGTAGATCTGCCTGTTCTGTTCCCCACTCTGCTTTCTGGTGAATCCCCTCCACTCCCACCTGCACCCCTGGTCTGTACCCCAGTTCTTATATGCATAAATAAATCTTTAAAAGAAAAAAAAATTTAAAAATGGTTGAAAGGCTATTAAAATATTTTGATCAAATAGTATATAGCAAAATGCATCTGTAAACTAAATCTAACTCCAATCTTTTTGCTCTATTCTTGTATACACTCACAGGACAGAATGACCCAGCAGAGTTTCTATTGGCCTTGTTAGAACTTTCCACAAGAAATCTTAGATTGACAGCCTATCCAGGATTTCATGCCATGGGGTTGTCTCACCAAAATCCACTTCCTCCATTTGTACCTTTTGGTGACTTTCCTTTCTGGATGTTCTCAAAGTGTTTTTTTTTTTCTGGAATTTCCAGTTCTGCCAGTGGAGGTAAGCTTTCCTACTCTCCTGAGAAGCTTCTGGAACCCTATTGGCAGGATCTTCTCTGCTCAATCTCAACCTCCAGATGGCCTCAAATGTAACATTCCAATCAAATCCTATATAATGTAATCATCTTTACAATTCCCATTTTAAAGAGAAACTGATAAAATTTCTTATTGAAATTATACAAAGATAGACATATCCCCACTAGTAATAAGAATACTTACTACAACTTTTCATGCTATAATATTAGAAGAAATTACAAACACAATTTGTTTATTTTATTACTATTTTTATTTTCGAAAGGACAGGCTTATTTTAAAGCGAGGGGAAAAGAATAAAGGACTCTTGCATAGACATAAGCTGGCAGAAATAGCTGTTCCTGAAGGCACAGATTTGCTAAAAGAGAGGCCTGCATAGTCACAGGTGGAAAGCCTTGGGAGGGGAATTGTTTCTACTGTTTTGTACATACTTTTTAGAACACCAGTATTAAAATATTTTTGTATATACTCAGGTGAAACATTTCTTTTAGGCAATAATGCTTTCCAATTAGTTCAAATTTACCAGATAAATATCACACAGATTGAATTCATCTAATGTATTTCTTATAAGGAAAGGGAGAAATTTTACAGAGTGTCTCAGA